TTCCAGCCACTGGCTGGACATCATCATCATCATCATCGTCGTCATTCTCAGCCGTAAAACTGCGGACTTGTCATACAGTGGTTGTAGCTGCCACAGGATCGTTCACCGGTGATTCAGGGAGGTGGGGCAGGTAACTGTGCATTGGAGGCGGGAGCTGATAAATTAATACATAAATACAGAACCGTGGGTGGACTGTTAAGTGAGGGAATTGGGAGGGGAGCCTTACATTTAAGGCAATAGCTTAGATGCACGAGCACCCTTGAGGGCGCGACTGGGCCATGTCTGACAATGTCTCTAACCATTGATGTGGCTCGTCTCGGGGTCCCTATCCAGAAAGACGGCAATGAACAGCGCAGCTGAGTTTGCTGGTAATGGCCTTCAATGGTGTCATTGTTTGACCTCCGCCTGGTTCGCTTCCACCCTTCACGTGGTTGGGTGAGAAGAACCTTTCGAAGAAATCGGTCGACTGCATACGGCGCACTTGGCCAAGCCAGCGCAGTGTGACTAGCTCTCACTCAGTTGCATTCATGAGATAAACAGCGAAACACGCCAGAGCCCATAACTTCTTGCTGTGTTGCACAGTCCGATGCAATCAATCGTTTAATTAAATCAAATGAAAAACTTCTAGTGAAATGAGTGGTTAGTGTTACACTTCAAGGGCAGTGATTTACTGCAATCCCACCCCTTATCTGTCCACTTGCTTGGTAAAAACGTCGCCTAATAATTCGAGAAACAGGAGTGAAATACATGAACATTTATTCTTTTTATTAACAATTAACAATTTTTATTATTAACAATATTAACAATATTAACAATTTTATTAACAATTTCAGAGATCCAATGATTAGATCTAATCGGTTGAGCAGGTACACAAGCAGAGCGTTCAGCTTCTCGTAGGTTTTTGTTAGGAGCCAATATCAAGTTCGATAAATCGCTTAGGAAATTACCTGTAGTGGTTAACGGCCCTATGGAGTCTCTAGTGAACAGAACAATTTACTAATGTAAGCCAGATACACAGTCACAAGGAGAAAAATCCAAGTAAATCTTAACTCACAGTTCAAAATAGGAGACTCCGAAGTTCCGAAGTTCCGTATTACGTTGAACCACCACACCAAGAAAAGTTCTACCTTCCAGGTATCTTAAATCTCCGGTGATTGCAATATTAGTTCACAGGTGTGAATAGATTAGTCCAGCGTTTGTAGCTAAAATTTTTGTCCACGCTTAGATTTAGCAGCAGCTAATTATAGCCAACCGGCAGTCACAACAACAGTCACTCAGCAAAAGTCTCAAAGTCACGTTGGACCCAAGAAGCGGGCGGTTGCGGTTGTAGTTCAGTAGAACAAACTTTTGTACAGTGATGTGACTGATATTGGTAGGGAAAAGGAAGATGAGACTGAGCATGAAAAATAGCAGATTTCAAGTGCTACATACCTATTCTGGCAGTTCATCACATAACCGCTGAAATGTGAGAACTTACCCACTTTCCTGCACTAATATGAAACCAATAAATCGGAGAAGAATAAAGAAAAACTCAACAAATAGAGGTATAAAATCAACCAATCAAGCAAAACTAAATCGGCCAACACAAGAAAAAAACTACGTCATACGGGGAAGCACAACCGGCTGAGACCACGACGGAAACCAAGAATGAATCAATCAAATAGAAGCGAGGATACTACCAAAGGTAGGAACGGCCATAACGATCAGTCATATCTGAGTAAGAAAGATCACAACGCAACAAAAACGGGGAACAGACCGGTCGGAAAGCGGACCTACCCCCCCAAGGGAGCTATTCAACCAACCAGTGGAATACGAGACATACAGACCACAACACAGTGCAACTTGCGAACGGGCTAATAAGATTAGGAAAGGACGTTAGATGTGAAAGGACGTTAGATACTTTTCGACGACTACATAACCGCAGACAGGTTCGGGGGAAGTACCAACTGCGCACCAACGATGTCTCTTCGACTGGGGACGAAACGTTTGCAAGCTGATTGCCAAGCTCGGCGAACAGATCAGCCACAAGTAAACGCACTTGGGCTGCACTATTTCGACGCAGTGTCAAGTGTCTATTTTATTGGACCGTCTAAATCATGCGTGATTACTAAGTTCTTACCAGTGGAGATTCAAATTTTTTCGGTCCTTTTAATGCTGTGTGGAGGCCAATAAATTCTTGGAACAGCTTACCATTGTGACCGAAATTGTTGACACATAAAACGCATCGAAACTTCGAATGGATTTTTAATTTTTACCACAATGGATACCAAAATCGAATTTGCGATTTTGAGAGCAAATTCGAGCAGTTTTACATACTGTCAAGGGATACTGATTTTCACAAAAGACTGTTTAGCTTCGCGCCTTTATGAAGACCTAGTGAAATGATAGGTGTTCGTAAATTCATTGAGATTTTTTGGAGTGGAGATTAGAGCCTGACCAAAACCTGGGTAATTTTGAAAAGCCACTGGGTGGATACGTAATATCCATCTCATATCACAAGTCACTTCAACAGCTTCCAACCAAATGGACGCCTGACTGAACCTTTCCTCTTGTGATCATGTCATGAAAACCCACCTAAGAGATAAAGTATTAATCATTCAATGCAAAATGAGAAGGTCAGATACGTAACCACTGCACTCAAAGCCTATTGGCTACCTGGCCGATTTTACTTCAAGGTCACATTTCAATCACGAGACACGTGATCAAGAGAGGACACAAGGTTGAGCTGAAATCTTTGGTCAAAATGCTTACGACATGTAACCAATCAAAGCCATTCAAGTTTCTTCAAGCACCATTGACTAAACGGTGCGTATGCCCTGGTTATACTGAGCGAATTACTGAAAAAAAGATATTTTCGATGGAGTCACGCAGTCTTTGTCACCTTTGTGATTGTACTCGTTTTACATGCTTATGACCGTAGACAGTGTGCGGGAATCGATAAACCTGAAGAAGGGTAAAAACAGGTGATATTTCTGGTCATCTGTTTGCCATTGAGGGGCAAGTTTGTACGAACGAATATTTACACAGATTTTCTAAACGGTTACCGGACTGTTTCTTGGGGGCTGTTTTTGGTGTGTAGCTATATTTTGAGAGGAGACTCGAGTCCCTCAAATTTTGTACCAAGCTTGTAATTTGGGCCTTTGCAGTTAATGTAACTGAGTGACCTTATGAAGAGAATGGCTGTTGACTTTTTCATGTTTCAGGTCACCGGTATTATGACTCAAGGTCGAGGTGACGGATCGGAATGGGTGACTTCGTTTATGGTATCCTACAGTGACGACGGTAATGTGTAGCTAATTTTGAGAGGAGACTCGAGTCCCTCAAATTTTGTACCAAGCTTGTAATTTGGGCCTTTGCAGTTAATGTAACTGAGTGACCTTATGAAGAGAATGGCTGTTGACTTTTTCATGTTTCAGGTCACCGGTATTATGACTCAAGGTCGAGGTGACGGATCGGAATGGGTGACTTCGTTTATGGTATCCTACAGTGACGACGGTAATCAGTGGAAGTTCATAACTGATCAATACGCAAATCAAAAGGTGAGTAGTATTCAGAGTGACCTTGGTTACCCGGTTGATTTGGTTTTCTGCTTGATCGACGTCCAGATGATCTTTCACCTTGGGCTCTGTGACTCTCACCCAATTCAATTTACCATGTCGGTTTCGGTCTGACAGTCGGATCCTTTTGAGTCGTTTAAGTAAGCTGACGATCTTTTGAACTCACATACTTGATGACGTCGCTGGATGTGGGGATTCGAAGAAGTCCCTCAGTCTTTAGCGTATTGCCTGCAAGTCATTTGCCAAGCTCAGCGAACAGATCAACGAACTTCTGTAACGCAGAGGTTGGTTTGTGGACTACCAGGATCCGTTTTTATTATAAAGTGGACTATGAGGCAGGGAGACATTGAATGTTTGAAAACTAACTGCACATTGATCTAACAAAGCCGTACGGGCATTCAGAACTTGAAATGACAAATGGATGTGCGAACTGGAAAGCACAGTAAGACCATGTCTGATCGGGGAGTGTAGACATCCCAAAATGGTCGTTAAGTGTAGACAGAGTCAGCGAGAGTCGCCGATCAAAGCCGCTGTAATTTTGGTTGCATTGGTCTTGATATGAGTTTGGACACAGCAAACCACAAGGATGGGTAACTGACGAAGCAACAATTATAGGGAACGAAAAAAATCGCTTCATCTGGACGTCACATACAGCCGTTATACATGAATCAGGGATAATGTGACGTTAAAAGCAAGACTGTGGGTGAAATTTTCGTAAATGACTGTCGTTAGGCTTTGTCAAAACGTCTATACAGAGCCCTAAAACCTTGCTAATGGTGGTACGAACGGTAGAGAAGTAAGACAGATTTTGCAACATTAGCTGATCGATTTTATAGCCCAGCTATACTCCCACTTGCATCGGTTGGCCGAATATTCCCCGTTCATTTGCAGTTTTTTTGAGAAACCAATGCTTGCAGTTTTCAGCTTCCACCATTAAACCCATGAGTCATGTATGGTACGTGTCGCCCTTACGCAGAACAGCCTGTGTGTTCATGTGACACTCGGTGGATCAATAATCCACTCAGCCTCAAGCAATCGGTAGTGATCACGTGACTGTCTTGCTGACGCGATTTTGTTTGTAAGCAGCTGTAGTGCTCGCGTTTGAATCGCTGTGATTTCATTGAGGAGGAACGTTTTCGGGTGGCGGTCAACGCTGAGCGGAATGACGATTGAAAAAATGTTGATAGATTTGTGACAAATGTTGTGCCGCGCGTTTGTTGGTTGGAAAATCTCCAAGGTGACATGTAAACATAGTGCGTGCTGGATGTCCCATTCGTTGAATATCCCAGCTCATCATCTTTAGCATAGTAGAAAAAAGGTTAGGTGCGTTAATAAGGCCGAATATTGCATGAGCTAAAGTTTACAACCAATCTACAGACTGCTTTATGATTTGAAGCAAAGACCGCTCGCAGACTTCACGAATTTACAACCAGGGCTTTGGGGTTATTAGATTAAGTTGGATAAGAGAGGTGATTGAATAGACATTTGTAGCGTGATGTCAGGTGTTCGGGCAGCAGTTGCCATGGTCACGTTGAAAAATGGCTGCTAATCTCTTCACTATGGTGAGACCAATCTGTTGATAGACAACGGACTGGGCGACAAACATATGTTCCCATTTGTTTTCAATCCGAAGAGTTTTGATCAAAGTACACTGACCACCTGTATGCAAGACTGATGTTAATCGCACTTGAAGACTTTAGGCATCACTTTGGAGGGGAGGAAGGCGTGAGGCATTCCCAGACTTGGGGTGGGCTGTCTGTCTCAGAGATTTTGACCTAGCCAAATGGCGTTTGACCACGTTTATTCGAAACCCTTCCAAAATACTGGCCACCACCACTTGCGCGTCCATCATCCGTAAACTATTAACACAATTTTCAAAGCATTGCAAAAAAACAACGGTTCGGTTGTTTTATTGAGGTTGGTTTCTACTTCCGACTTTGTCTGAACGGTTTCAATCATTTCTCCCTTGCGTAAACCCACGCACTGTTATGACATGTGAAAATTTATTCTCTCTGAGACAATTAGGATAGTCGGTTTGGAAACCGTCCGAGTGAAACGATCAAAATAAACCAAGGGGCTGCACCGCTGAAGTTCATGATGTCTACACGGATGCTCTCAATCAGTTTGTAGGGAAACATGGTCACGTCTCGAATTTTAGCTGAATTCACCTTTGGAATGAAACTATTGCATGCATCTACAGAAAACTTCAAGAAGACCAAATGTGACTGAATCTGAGCGCGGTTTTGCTCGTTCGACCCTCATTATAAATCAAACAAATCTTGAGAACTGTGTCCCGAGCACAAATAAATGTTATCACAACTAGCCTCAGGCTGCCCATAAGACATACAATCGAACTACAGTGACGAGACTTCGTTTATGTGTCTCTCAACTCAGTTGTTCTGAGTCGGATAGCTGGGCCAGCCGTAGGTTTGCGTAGGGGATTGGTTGTATGGGTGCCTCCGGCTCTGGCGAGGCATTTTCGGACGGCACCATGATGAAAAACCAGCTTTTCCACCGTACGTTTTTGATGTCTCCCATAAGTCACAGGTAAACTAACATTGGCGTGTAATGTATATTTTTTAAAATGAAAAAAAGAAACAAGAATACGTTATAGGTTTTACAGACACGCTGCAAGAAATAAACCATTTTGGATTCGTAGGCCCGTCGCCAGTTTTGTACATGGAGAACACCGATTCTTTAAATCATCAGTGGCCGGTTTCTTATAAAATACGGTAATGGTATTCCGGCATTATCATCGCCGTTTGACTTGGATAATGTTCAACGCAATGTGCCGTGGACTCATGTGGACATATACGATGGATGTGTCTGTCTACGATTGGTTAACGTGAATACAAAAGGATCAGCCAATCAGATGACCGCTGTCCGCTGTCCGTCACGCCTACGCACTTGAACTAATTCACCACACCTCTAATGGAATGATAGTGAGGCTTCCACAAGCGGTTGGGCTTTGAAATGGTCTAGATATCCAAAGGTCTTGAGCGTGAGGTGTTAGATACTCTAGGGTGATTTGGTATATCCAGCAAGCAGGAGTTCGGCACTGGCCTGTCTCGTCCATTCTAGGTGTACTTAAGCCTTTATCTTCAGGATATACTAGATCGCATTCTGGTCTCTGAATGTTTATAGCGCTACCTCTGGTTTACTCTAGGTCAAAGTTGTAAGAAGTGCTCATATTTCAAAGACAATGCAGGAAAAATTGTACATCATTTGATCTGTGACCTTATGGCGTTGATTTGACGCTACCTAGCCAGGCAATGTTTACTCCGTTGTGCTGATCCGAATGCTAAACTCGGAAGTTCCGCCTGTCGGTCAAATCTTTTCACGAAGAGTCAATAATTGCCTGGTAATTCCAGTGCTAAGGGAATGGGTCAGATGATCACTATAACTAAAATGGCTCAAAGTGCCCATATTAGTCAGCGAAAGCAACCAATCATAAGCTGTCTCTGTTGAAGCTTCCAAGAAAATGGACAATGTGTTAGTAACCTAACAAGGTTGATAACTATGGCCCTCACACAAGTAACTGAAACGAAAACCAAGCCTTTGCTCATTCAAAACAGCAGCATCATTGAAATTTGGGAAACCAACTTATTTCGAAATCGATCAGACTGCTTCCTAATGTCTTTGCATTTATCTTGCGTAGATTTTCGAGGGAAACACAGACTCATTTATGGTGAAGCACAACTATCTGGACGAGCCGATCAAGGCGCGTTTTGTGAAGATACACACCTACACATGGCACAATCACCCGAGTCTTCGTGTTGAATTGGTTGGATGTCAACGTGAGTTTCTGCCAGTTCATTCATTCTTCATTGGAAACAGATGACACACACACACACACCGTTGTTTCGTGTGTGAGGGAGGCATTATCGGAATAACCAGACGGACTAGAAATCCAGAATTCAGATCAGCGCACCCACCAGCACGTATGTATTCGAATTGGCGTGTATGTACAGCATACAGAATATTAAAACAAGAGAATAATGAATGGAGCAATGAATAGAGTATCAGTCATGTTCATCACATCCGCCACACCTTGAATGAGCGTGTGGGTGTTTATAGTCCAGTAGTGGTCTTGACCGCAATCTTTCGGATCTTTTCGGAATGGAAACTTCAGACTCTTCACAGGTAGTGCGTTCCTCAGTTACAACGTTTTGTTCGGATACCATAA